AATATATGTGTGAAATCATGTGTGATACCCTACCCTTGTCAGCCGCCAACCAGGGGAGGTAACACATTTCGGTGGCTAAGGCAGTACTGTTACCCCTGACACCACCAACAGCTTTTGCCACCAGACAAAGTGTTGTTTTTTGTGTAGACATGTCAGTCTCTTGTGATGAAAGCAATGAAAACTACTTAACTGTCTGTTATAAGATCTGTCACAGCAACTCACAGTTTACAAATAATAAAGAAAAGGAAGCTGTGGAGAGTAATATTTACTTATATCCTAAAGGAACATGGTAGTTAGAGGAGAGGAGGATAGTTATAAAATATGTTGCAACCAACCAACATATGCTATTGACAAAAATCTGAATTCCTGCACAAATCAAATTACCATCCAACTGATATAGATTCACAACTGGATAATTGTTAGAAGTATAGATCCAAAGAAGACTTTAGAAGGAACTGGAAACTCAATCATAAACAGGAAACAAGGGATAAACCTCTACTCCTGTTCAAAAAACTGGAGCAGAGTAAGAACCAGATGATAGGCAAACAAGGCACAAAATATTGCTTTCCTGGAGGTTAGCATCAGCCATGATGATGGCATGCAGGAAAAGGTTTTCTGTGGAGAATAAGTGAAAGCAGTTTTACTTAATCAAAAAAAAAAAAACACTTATCAAATCATTCATTGATACATATTCTGTTTGGTTCTTAAAACTTTTATCTTTAACTAGTAAACTCCTGCCATAGAAAATTTGTACAATAAAATTAAGAAGTAATTATATTTTGACTAGATTATGCATACTGTCAGAAGATAACTGATGAATTTAATATTCCATTAGAACTATGAGGCATTATCACAGCATTAATATTGTGGGTTGTGTGTTGTGGTGTGATGGTTATCAGGTTAGACTGAGAAATTGGGGAGCTGAGTTTGAATTCTAGTCAGGTTCGTTACATTCACTTATGCTCGAATACCCTTGGGAAAGTTATGAATCCATCTCTTCTCCTCCAGCTATGGAGTGTCCTGCGTATGATGATAAACTGCATCCAGCAGCAAGGCCTCTGATCAGGAGGTTTTGAGGAGCGTGGAATCACCTCTTAGTTGCTTTTGTTCCTGGGTCCACCCTGACCCGGGGTGGTAGCACCCATTAGTGTCCCAGCTATGGGTAAATAGCTTCCCCCCTCCCTTGATCTGGAGTAGGAATACTAGGAAGGTGTAAGAATGGGTTTTTTGTAATAATAATACCATCAACACAAATTGCAGTATATAAAGTGCACATTCACAAAACCCGATTTCAAAAAACTAAAATTTCCCCTAAATAGGGCCACCCATTTGCCATGGGTGGCGATCTGTGATGCCTGGGGACAGAGTCCTGGTAACTGAGTGTCCACTGAAAATGACCAGGAGTTTCCACAACATGTCACTTCGGACCCTACCTGGGATAGATGGGCAGATGGAATAGCCCAATCCATTCGAATTGGCTAGTCACATTGTAGCAAGGGCTAGTTGGGATGATAGATAATGAGTCCTACAGGGCCATAAAACCTTACATCATACTATACTTGGGTAGATATGGTGGGGGAGTACAGGTGCTTGTATCCACTCTCATCAAAACTATACTGTCTGTGTAGCCTTGGTGGATTAGGGCAAATGGGATTAGTCACCCCCGATAGGGTCCCTTAAGAAGGAACTCCGAGGTGGGTGGGGAGCACAGACAGCGAATACAAAAATTAAAATTATATGGCTATCTCTTATAAGCGAACCAAGAGACAATATGAGACTTCTGAAAGCGAAAATGAAATAGAAAAAAATCACTTTCCAACTTTCATTGTTGTAGAATCAGTAGAGGGTGATATATCAAAAGTGTCTCCTTTCGTGTTGCAAAGGGTTATTTCAGACATGATCAACCCACATTCTGTTAAAAAAATAAAGAAAAATAATACTCTATTAATTCAAGTGATATCCTAAAAAGATGAAGAGAAATTGCTAAAAATCAAGCAAATTGACAACAATAAAGTCAAGGCCTACCTGCATCAATTTCTTAATTCATCAAAAGGAGTAATAAACTGCCCAAAACTGTCACTTTGTCCATCAGAAGAAATTGAAAATGACGACACCCTAAAAAGTAAGGAGTAACAGATGTTAAAAGAATGCAAGTAAAAAGAAATGACACAGTAATAAACACCAACACACATATTTTGACATTCGACAAACTGACTCTACCAAAAGAAATAAAGATAGGTTACACAATAGCCAAGGTGGTGACATATATTCCTAATCTCCGTAGATGTCATAAATGTAAAAAATTTGGTCATCTTCAAAATGTTTGTATGAGAACATCAGTCTGTCGAAGATGTGGGAAACCGGAAACTGAGCATGATGAATCACCTTGTGAAAGACCTTCTTTATGTCCAAAAACAAAATGCTAACAGTCTGAAGAATATAGAAATGATGGACACTTCACCCATATAAAAAAAAATATTGGACATGTAAAAATTCATAATACATAATCAAGATGCAAAACCTTATTTAATGGAATTGTAACTGGCGTCAAAACACTATGAAAGTGTAAAAATAGATTTTAATACCAGAAATACTTTATAAAAAATTATTACCAGCAATACATTTTTGAAAGCCAAATGTTGCCAGCAATGCATTTTTGAAAAACAAATATTACCAGCAATATATTAGAAAAAAAAAAAAAAAAAATATATATATATATATATATATATATATATATATTACCTGCTATACATTTTTTTGAAAAAAAAAGAAAAAATATTACCAGCGATACATATTTGAAAGAAAATTATTACCAGAAATAGATTTAAAAAAAAAAAAAATATTACCAACAATAAAAATTTTGTCTGTATTAAATAACCCATTGAGGTTGATATGCCATAAAACAGACCAAACCAAATCAAGCCCCCAGCTATGGATTGAATAGCAGAACAGGCTGGGCTCTATAGCCATGGCAACCAGCCTACTGCAGAAAGAAATGGCAACCTACTGTAGGAAAATATTCTGCCCAGCTAGTCATGAATTGAAAGACCTGATCATTCAAGCAAAAAAAGTGAGACATGATATTTTTTATTAGAAATTTTATTATAACAAAAAAAGAAAGCATTTCATGATTAAATTTTTCCCTCATCAAAATATCCACCTTGATTATTGTGGCAAAAATTTTTGGCATTCATTACAAAAATTTCTCAAAGTATAAGTTTGATAATTGATTCCATTCTTTTTTCAATGACACTAAGAGCCTCTTTTTCAATGTTTTTTTTTTCACTCTTCTTAAGTTCATCCCATGCTAATTCTGGGTGTGGCTTCAAACTTTTGAACTGTAGTGTATAGTTTTGTGTGATCTGTTTTTTTTTTTTTATAGGATAAATAAGAAAATTACAAAAAAACATGGTTTTATTTTGAAAAGTTGAATTAAAAGGCCAATATTAAAAAAATGAACTCGCGAGTTTCAAAAATTTGAATATACAAAAATAGACTTCATTTTATTTTCAGTAAACAAATAAAATTGCTTGTAATTCACACAAATATTATAACTAAAACCAGGAACTTTTTGTAGTTACTTGGAGATATTCAAAAAGCTAATTCAGTCATGAAAATTACACTTGCCACTTGCTACATATTAAAGTGAAGTACAAGCACTAAAATACTAACAAAAGGTTAATAATTGTGATTGCATTGGTTATATATTTTAGTATAAGTAATTGATGTAATGAATATGCATACACATGGGTTCCACCTCACAGTAATATGATTGGCTGGTGTCAGCCATAAATACAGACTGATGTGGAGGTACAGGGACTACACCTATTGTCATTGCCTATTGCCTACGCCTATGATGAGGACCAGTCCATTACGGTTACCTGCTAGATTGTCCTACCCGGTTACAGTAGTCAACAACCACTTTGCTACTTCGAACAAATATATCTCTTTCCGGGACATATCAGTAATCTAGAATTTTTATTTATAGGATAAATTCTATTATCACAAGTAAGAAATAATTTTAATTTTTAAATCATTAAAAAGTAAAAATATCCAACAGAAAGCCAACACAAAATAAATAAAAAAGTAATGTTTTTGCTAAGATATTCTGTTGTTCCCTTTGAATCTCGTTCTTTTATTGTCCTCTTTCTTTCACTCTCAATAACCCCTTGCATCCTAGTGGCTTTTATTGCCTTGCTAGGGGTGAAATAATAAAATAAAAAGGTAACATGTTTATTGGCATTAAGTAATACATCCTGTTATTATAGCAATGGGACCTCTCATTAGTAATTAGGGTTAATCAAGCTATAAAACAGATACGCTCGTACCTTGATATTATGGACATCCCTTCCTTTAAAGTATATCAGAAGCAGTGGACAAAACTGGAACAGCTGACTCAGTTTATAAGCCCTACATGTTACAGATGAAGTTGTGGCAGTTTTGGATACAATCTACTGTTTCATAAGCTAACCACTAGTTGGTGGGCTGTCACTTTATTTACATCAGTGTAACCACATGTGTAGCTTATTTCTCCATGGGGTTTTCTCCCCTTTTTATATGCCAGAGTGTGTAAATGGTTTTATATTCATCATTTTCTTCTATAACCATGTCATCTGTTGGAAGGGTGAATTTTGCAGTTGCACAAAATAGTGTATATTTACAGCATACAGGTATTTTATAGTGTCAGATTGGCGAGTTTGTTTAATTAAATGTACAGTACTATATTATTCTTTTTTATTTTGTAATTTAATTAATGATATTAGCCACCACGGACTTGGTGTCGGCAACTATGAACAATAAGCATTATCAGACTGATGTCTCTCCCCTTATGAGGTATTAGTGTATTTTATATTACTGAATAGATATTACAGCTTTTGATTCATATTAATTATTGGACTGATGTTTCCCTCCTTATGAAGTATGTGTGTATTTTATACTAATGAATAAATATTTATTACAGCTCAAAGACAATCTTTCTGATGTTTTTTTTTTTTTTCCAGACCAGAGGATTACTGAACCTATTTGAGAAAGATGCTGCTTCTCTCAAGAAATACACTGTTGGTTTACATAATTGTTGCCAAAGAATATTATCTGCCCAGGTTTGTATGCTATTTTTAGTCTTATCATTCAATACTCTGATCATTTGTGAATATCTATGCTGATAATACAATGGTATATAGGTGCACCTCGAGACGACCAGAGATTGGCAGCTGATCTCTCCTCTGACTTCAGTGGGGGGGAAAACCTGGTTGGTTACTTTAAAGGGCCTGAAAACCAAACTAGTTACATTCCAACATCACCAATCGGACTGTGAACTATCACAAATGGAGGTTCCCTCAGGGAGTCTCTGTGCCTTGAGGGCTTACTGTGGAGCTCATATATACAAACCATCACTAAAGATGCTAGAAAAGTGGTTGGTTCTCTGTACCTTTCCGTTAAGTACATGACTCCTCTTGCAATCCTCTACATTTACAAGAGCCAGCTCAAGCCTAAAATGGAGTACTGTTGAAGTACTAAATGAAGTTACTAAATCTAAAATGGAGTACTGTTGTCTTATATGGGCAGAAGCTTCATAGTTTTTACTTTCCAGTCACAGTAAAGTCTAAAGTGTCTCTGCATCCTTGTGGGTGACAAATTATTTTCCACCCTACAACCCCTTTCTCACAGCTAAAACATCGCAAGCTTCTCACTGTTCTATCGCTATATTAATGGAAAGTGCTTAGATGAACTACATTTCTTAGTTCCACCAGTTCTAACCTTCACAGCTACAAGCATTGTAGTGAGCCACTTTCATTCCCTTCGTTATTTCATTCGTGAGATGTAAATTCCACTTAAGCAACTTCTTCCTATGAACTACTGCTTTGCGGAACCAACTCCCAAGAGGATGGTTTCCTGATCATTACAGTCTTAACCTGTTCATGTGTAGGGTTAACCATTTATCTTTCCCACATATCCGCCTTGTACAGAGTGAACATCACTGTAAATAAAAAAAAAATAATAATAAAGGCCAATAGCAAAAATCATGTTTTATAGAATTTCAAAATGAACCAATCACAAAATTTTATTAATTTCTGATTGCTCAACTATGATTTGTCACAAAAAAACTGATTTCTGAAAAGAAATATTCTCAAACAATCCCAAAGCTTTTTCCATTAAATATCACCTACTGAGATGAAATTAATAAATCCCCTATAAATATTGTTCTACAAATATCCAGTAATGCTACATTTAAATGTAGACAAAAAAATTGTTTTTGTGTTGCAGTATACCAAGTCAGAATTTGAAAACTAAAATGTATATTTCCAAAATCAGAAGTCAGCCTAAAGACTTGGTTCCATGTGGTACAGCCAGTCTAAAATGTGCTGTATACCATTAATGTAATTCCAGACTGCCATGACAGACATTTCCTATGTCTGAAAAACTGATTTAATTTTACAGATTGTAATGAAATAAAAATCCATAAATAAAAATAAGTCAACCCAATAACACATACAGTTGCCAACGATTAATACCAAGTGGGTGTTAAGTAGGCTGTTTGGTGTCATTGTTTTCATTCGTAAGGAAGTATGACTCATAGGGTAACTTTCAGCCTAAGCCTGGATATTGTGCGAAAAGTTTTGGAAGTTAACTTCAATTTATTGCATGACATTTAGACTTTCAATTGATAATCATTTGTACACATTAGCTCTTAAATCATGATTTAACTTTCACTTTTTTTTAATCATTTCTCCTTAAGAAAGGTGATAAAGCCACAAAGACGCAAAAGGGGGGTTACTTAGAGTGAAAGAATCTGAAGAAAACATTATTGTGGAGAGAGGACAATAAAAGAACGGGTTCAACATTGTATTTAAATGTTTGATGATTGAAGTTGGCAAGGAAGCAAGAAGCCAGAATAGAGTTCCATAAGTAAGAAGTGCAAGATTTTTCTGAGAGAGCCACTTGTGGCCATTGACTGATTTGAGATGGAATGACCCATATATATAAAATGAAAATATAGAAGGTGATACTGAAAAATTCCCAGAATCTCTGAACAGGCTCCATAACTAATTCTGTTCATGTGCAAGAGCTGATGGATTACAGTGAGTCCTCCGTATTCGTTGGGGGTGGGGGCTTTTAGGGTCCAGAACTGGCTGTGAATAGTTATAATCTGCAAATATTTGTAACCCCCATAAAAGTGTTAAAATTTCATATTTTGATTGTTAAAACCCCACATGCCTTAAACTTTCATCCTAAACACTTTAGAAACATTTCAGACTCTTTTTAAAACATTTTGAAAAATAGTATTGGTGACCATATACTTAGCGTAAATTTTCTTTCATATGTACAATAACCGTTTTTAATTACATGTATAGATCAATACAACCATTGAAAATACTGTATAAAATATGTGTAACAATAAAATATAAAGTTCAAAACATTTTCTAAAAACAGAACTGTGATGATGCCCCCAGACTTAGCATAAAGCCACTTTTAAGACCCCAGCTGCAGCTCCTAACAAAGAACAAAGCCAAGCACTACGCATGTTTTTGCATTTGTTTTTTTACAATAAAGATTTACAATTCTGCCAAATTTTACCATAAAAATGGACTGTTATATGTTTTAAGTCACTTAAATAACGGGAAAATAATACAAGAATATTTTAAATATGTTCTATCGAAAAAATATGCAAATTGAAGTAGTTCTCAGAACCCTTATGTTCCACAAGATGTCGCTGGGGGTTTCATGAGAAACAGTGATAAATAAGCTAATGGATTTTTGAGTAATTTTTGTTTAATTTTATATTCATAATTTTACCTTACACATACGACATATTATTGGAAAATCCTTAAAGGTGTGACGACATGCTCCGCTCGGCCGTCACTATGCAACTGATGACATCTAAGGTCGGTTGTATGTGTATACACCTGGCTAGCTTGTCCACTTGGTTGTAATCAAATTTACAGAGACAAATGACAAATGCTTTTCAAGACAGACTGGTTGGGAAATAGCAATGATATAAATTCTCACTCAGCTGTTTTCTTTTGGGTGAACTGCTATCTCCCTAACTTTCTTTTTGCTGGTCCCTTCCAACTCTCTAATTGTCGGTCCCTTCCTCACCAGCTGCTGGTCACTTACTCACTGCTGGACACATACTTATTTCTCTGACTGTTGGACCCCCTTTTTCTGATTGATTTCCTGCCTCTTTCTGCTTATATGGACAATGGCTGAGGTCCCACCCACCTATCCATCAACATTTTCCAGAAGATTTGAGACCATCCAAAAGCCAGATGGTTGGTCAAATCTTCAAAAGATTCTACTTTTATGATTATTTAAAATCATTATCAATATTTAATGTTTGCCAATTCAAAGGCAGCAGGAGACAGAAATCCTGAAACACTGTTGATGCAAAGATGGACTGGCGACGAATTTCCTAAGAAACTCAGATAACTAAGTAGAATTAAAAGGAAAAGGAATTTATCTACTTATTTCCTAAGGATGTTTGAGAAATTGTATTGTTACAAAGCTTTTAACCTCTTATATCATTTAAAATTACAATAATCATAGGGAATGTATTTAGCAATGTTTATATGGTGTCTGTGTGAAAACACATTCATTGGTTAGTGAATAGGGCCTGTATGTGGCAGATTTATGTATCATTGAGTAACTCTCTTGATTACACTTACAGGATGCATAGAAAATGCACACAATTTGGGGTGCACGTTAGAATTCCACCAAAGCCACTAGAGAGAAGATAAACCTGGGAAGACCAGATTGTGCTTGCAGACATAAGTAGTAGCTACTAGAATATTACCCCAACCTTTGTAAAATGGAAGAATAAGTAAGCAGACACATATGAGTATTGTTCTATCATCATCATAGTTGTGAACAAATGATTTGAAGATCAGACTATTGTATGCAGTTGAAAGCATTAATATAGGAGAAAGTATGACATTAGAAGAGGTAACAGTTAACCAACTGTTAAAATCTTCAGTTTTTCTGGTATTTTTGCCATTATTTTAAGACTTGAATCAATCTCGGGAATCCATCTACTTTAGTTTTGCATTACATATGGCTGTCTTGGGCTTGTAACATTTCAACCCAGAACTTGAGACTTTTTCAGATCTTGACCATGATGTTACCATAGAAACACAAACAGCATGTAATGTTATATTTAGTGTCTGAAACAACAAGCTTATTTCTAGTATAGTGTTTCAGTGTAATCTTTGAGTGTTTAATTATTAATGAAACTTAGAGAATATGCTGATTACATGAAGAGTTTATTTTTTTATCAGTTTTAATATTTTAAATGAGAATAATAATCATAAATAAACACCCAACATTTTATGTACAGATTGCTAACATTTGTAACAATTTTGTTTCTATTTAAGTGATTTATTTTTCCTTATATTCATATTTTATGATGATGTTTACCCTGTACAAGACCTGGGAGCCACTCGGGGTGGGGATAGCAAAATCAACTGAGTGTAAACCAGAAGAGATGGCTGAACATGTCTTCTATCACTGCCATCAAGTCTGCTCACTCTAAAATTATCTTGGGGTGTTGGTCGCTTGCACATAGGCACTTCATTGCACTGGATGTCTCCTTTATATAATATAATGCAGGTCCTGAATTTTTTTTTTTTCACAGTAATGGCAACAGTTAGAATAGGTGTGTGGGACACCAGACAAAATGTGGTGCTACATAGAGATCTGCTGTCTGACTATGATCAGATTATATATTTCAAGCATTAACTCAAGGTGAAGTCGAAACACAACAAGCAAAAACCAAATCAGGAATATTTCAGTGATAGATAGGATAAAAGTGGTATATGTGAAAAGTACCAATATTGAGTGGCATTTTTAGTAACTGTAGGTGGGGGTTAGGGGAGTCTCTGCTCCTGGGAACTCATTCTAAGGATCTGAACAGTCTGGTAAAATGCAACTAGTTGTGTGACCCATCCCCTCCACTTCAGGTTTATACTTCTCCCACTCCCATGCATGTTAGTATTTATAGAAAAACAAATAGTGCATGTAAAATGTTAGTTGACAGTTGGAAGAAATATTGTTTGTATATTTTAGTTGCATAGGAGATTAGATTTTTTTTTTTCTGGATTAGTGC